GGGGGTGCATAAAATAAAAAAAAACGATATTGAAACATGATGCATTTAAAAAGATAATTTTGACTCATTTCACAAAAATTAAGACATTTCAGAAACATTTAGGTCGATGTTGACACAATCTTTTCGAACTTCAGGACTCTGAAGGTTTGTCGGGCAGTTTGAAATCTGAGGTGAACTTCAATCTTCTCGTTGCCTGTCTTTGTCCTCAGGTGGCTGTGGACCTGTGTCGTCAGAAGGGTGTGATGCCTTACTCGGGGCTCAGCAGCAGAGCAGAGTCAGAGCGGGATACTGAAAGCCTGATGGAGGAAGTTCTGAAGCTCAAATCTCTTCTCAGCACAAAGAGAGAACAGATCGCTACTCTCAGAACGGTCCTTAAGGCCAACAAACAGGTGAGCCCCCACCAAGCTAAGCTGCTGCTTGAAGTATTTTTAAATTATTTATCCAGAAGTGTAGCACAGAGTTCAGGCAGTATAATTTTTTCAAATGTTTAAGTAGGTTTAACTTCCAGTTTATTATAATGCAGCACTAGATGACCTGCTACTGTCATTCCCTGAGCCGTCTGTGTTTCGTTCACAAACAAACACGCCCTCACAAACGTGCTCCAGGTCACTGGACTGTGCTTACCTGCAATGTCACACTGATCTGTCAACCATTAGTGTGACCTTTTGTCACACGTTTGAAGACTGGTCGCTGGTACTACTGTATGTTAGGTGCTGGCTGGTGGTTTTGATACAATCATAACATGCTGCTTTAAAGATTTTAATGTTCTAAAAAACAAAACAAATAAACATCAATCTTTTTAGATTTCTTGGTAGCAGCTGAGTGTTTGACAGATCTTTGTTTTGTCATAGAATCCATTTTTACAAGTAGTGCTTCATATTGCATAGCAATTTTTTGTCATCGCATTCAATTGATTTCAGTTTATTTATAAAGCACCAAGTCACAACAGAAGTCGTCTCAGGGCGCTGAACAGAAACATTCACATACATAAAAATTCAATTAGTAACATTATCTAAGGAAGGAAGCCATGCTCAGTATTATTTCAGGCTGTGCACACTTGTGCAACATCAATATATTTTATCATGGTCTCAATTTTTTTACATCACAAAAAATGGGCATTTCAACAGGGCTGTTTGCACATTTTATATCCACTATGCATCTCTTTAGCACATGGCAGCCTGCTTGAGATGAAATTGTTTTTGTAGAGTAAAAAGAACAGTAACACTGGAAAGACTTGGTTTTTAGGGGTTGTGGGGATGTCAGCAGCAGGGGATGTTGAATGTTCCAGTGAAGTGTAAAATTGTGGATTTTTTTTTGGAGTTGACATCAGAGTAACTCCATTTGGTGAGTTAGGGTGAGGTATCATGAGGTGGAGCAGCTGGCAGTGTGGTGCAGCAACTTGATCCTGAACATCACAAAGGTAAAGTGATGGTCGTAGACTTTAGGAAGACCAAAAATGTCATCCAGTGTTCATCGGCAGGGACAGAGTGGAAAGTGTCTCAGACTTCTAGTACTTCGGGGTACATCTAGAGGACAATCCGACCTGGAGTAATGTCATTTAGGGGTGCACCGATTGGAGTTTTCTGGCCAATCACCGATTTCTACGAAGTCTGACCTGCCGATTCCGATTTTGTCTCATACCGATTTTGTTTTATAAGCAACTGACTGGTATAAGGTCACAATGCACCTTCAATTTGTCCAATATTATTTTATTGAAAAGCATACCCTTGTACAATATCCTAGAAACTATACAAACTTGTTTTAACTGGCCATGAGGTAGTGCTCTGACATATAAATGATGTTCAGACAATTGTTGTTAAAACAAAAAAAAAATAGGTAAAATTGTTTTCTCATGCACGTATCGGCCGATTTCCCAAAATTAAGGAAATTGGGGCTGATTTATCGGTGCACCCCTAGTCGTCATAATTTTCAAGAAGGTCCAGCAGAGATTGCATTTCCTGAGGGTTCTGAGAAACAACCATTTTGCCCAAAATGCTGGTGGACCCTCTGCTCAGATCATTTAGACACTGTCTGTGCGTATGGTTCAGCAGCTGCACGACAGACAGGAAAACACTTCAGAGAGTCAGAAACACGGCTCACAACATCGTTGGTTGCCCTCTGCCCTCCCTCGAGGACCTGTTTAATGCTCGATGCCAGAGGAGAGCACAGAACATTCTCTGGGACCCTCCCACCTCGATTATTTCCAGTTCCAGCTGCTGCCCTCAGGAAGACGCTGAAGACAAAAACTAACAGGCTGAACAGCCGAGCCATCGTCCAAATAAATTCTGCTTTAAAACAATGAGGCTGTGTGTGTGTGTGTGTGTGTGTGTGTGTGTCTTAAGCACGGTCTCTTTAAGCATTACAGTATTATTTTTGTGTGTTATAATTTGTTTATTGTGTTTTTATTTATTGTATTTTTACATCAAATTGCTGCTGGAGCACTGGAAAGGATTTCACTTTAAATTTGAGCAACTTGTGTGCAGTGACAATAAAAATGCATTTTATTCTATTCCACTCAAAACCTACTTTACTTTAGATCACTTTTGTGTGACACGTCACAAAAACATTTTGTCTTTTTTTTTTTAGACTGCTGAATTGGCGTTGTCCAATCTGAAGACGAAGTATGAGACAGAGAAGAGTATGGTGTCAGAGACCATGATGAAACTGCGAAATGAGCTCAAAACCCTGAAGGAGGATGCTGCCACCTTCTCCTCACTCCGAGTCATGTTTGCCAGTCGGTAAGACATTTTCATTCAGCCTTTATTTATACAGGCTATATTTCATTCCTTTTATATCTGATTTGCAGCCAAACAACCATCTTACAACAACAATTAACCAATATATTGGTGTAGGAAACTATAGAGGCTGCGGTAGCTTGGTGGTCATTGTCGTGGTCTTGTAATCCTGAGGTTGCGGGTTTGAGCCCAGGTTGAGTCAGGAAGGGCGTCCAGCGGAAAACAAATTGCCAAATCTTTCATGCGAGTTCGCTCACTGTGGTGACCCTTAAAGAGGGGAGCAGCTGAAAGAAACTTAAATATTCCTACTGGAAAATATATTTTGAGTTTCAGAATGTTTTTACAAAGTTAATGTAAACTGGTGATTGTTTCTTGGCTCTGGTTGTTTTGTAGATTTAGGTAATTATTGTGTCTATGCTCTGTAGTGGTGCTGGTTGTAGCAGAGCTTCAGCTTCAGGTGTCACTCACCTACTAATAAGCTTGTTGTGCTCAATACGCCTGGGAACAATCCAGCAGTTCACGTGAAGATTATAAACCACATGCTCTGCCTTGTGCTCATGGGAGAAGCCGAGAGCAGGTTTTCCCATCAAGTCAGGTCACCGTAAGGAAGGAGTCAAATGTTTGCAGGGTGGGTGGGACATTTAGGAGGAGTCTGGTGTAGGAGAAGAGTTAGACGAAGAGTTAATTCATGGACCTTCACATTTCAAACACTAATCTCTTCAGATCATCGTTCACACCAACAGTGTTTTTGTGATTGATGCTGGGAGACGATAATTTAAAAAAATTTTTTTTTTTAACATATTTTTATGGAAAATGTACAAATTATATCAGATTTCAGGGAAAGCTCCTGGTCTGTTCATTGGACTGTGCAGGTCCTTCTGCAGATCGTTATGAGCTGCTGGTTGATCAGCTCCAAGGAGGATTGGCGATCAAGGACGTCTGCTTTCTGACTGAAGATTAAAGCTTTAAGAGACGAGGTCTTGTGTTAGTTTAGTGTTGTCGCCGTCATGTGGAGAAGTGCAGCAACTCACCTTGTGCAGTTTTAATTGTAGTTTCTTCACTTGTTTCAAAGGAACCTTTAACTTTAAATGTAGCTGGTGAAAGTTAAACACTGAGTGTCAGTCAGGACACAAAAAACTGACATTTATCCATTTGTTTTCAGCAACAAGAATGAAAAAAGGTTTTATCAAACCCAAGACTAAATGTCTTGATTTATCACTACTGAACCAAAATTATACAGTTCATTATGTATAACCCACATATGTAGCAACAGTCTTATCAAATCCAGGCAGAAATATCTAAAATAGTTAAGTCGGGTCCTCTGGACAGATCCAAAGAATAAAAAAAAACTTGTTGAAACGTTTTGTCTTTAATCCAAAAATTTTCCTCAGTCCACCCTCTTATCTTTTACCTTGTAATCACTTTATTTAATCTAAAGCGTCTAATCATAGTGGACTGATTACAGTTGAACTGCTCCATAGGAAAATGTCTCAAATTTGATAAAGATGAATACATTTGTATAAAAATACAGAAACCCAATGTTTAACATCAGCTGAACTAAAACACTAGTAAAGTGTATAAACTCTACATGTTAGTGATTTTTCAACCCCACCCCCAACATTTAGTAACATAAAGTATTTCATAAAAGTAAAGAAACATTCACAGCATGACTAGTATCCACACATTTACTGTAAATTTAAAGTACAGCAGTTGGTAAAACTAATGCATTCACCAACCTTGAAGGACGTTTCATGTTTGAACACCCTGGACCGGCCATTCTGTGTTCGTTCCTCCTTCCTGTTCCTCTCAAACCCAGCCGGTTGAAGCAGATGTCCGCTTGTCCTGAGCCTGGTTCTGCTAAAGGTTTCTTGCTCATCAGGGAGTTTTTCCCTTTCCACTGTGGCCTTTGTGCTTGCCCAGGATGGAAGACAGCGATGAAATAAAGATTCAACACAATCTGCTGCTTCCTTAGATAGATAACTTTACTAATTGGCTTTTTTATGTATGTGGATGTTTCTGTTCAGTGCCCAGAGACGACTTCTGTTGTGACTTGGTGCTAAAGAAATAAACTGAATTGAAAAAAACGTCCTTCAAAGAGAGAGCGAGAGATTTGTCATTCCACCGCATGTAGTACATGTGGTGGAATGAGATTATGTACACAGGGTCTCAGTTACATCCAACAATAAAATGTAAAAGAAAAACAGTAATAAGATCTAAGATATGAACTAAGAAAACCATCAATTAAATATACACTAAGCCCTAATAGCATAAAAACAATACACCGAACAGCAGCACGAACATGAGTCTGTGTGAGCAGATGAGCACGAATGAACACGGCAACATGAAACAGATCAGCAGCAACATGAAACAGATAGGCAGCAACATGAAACAGATCAGCAGCAACATGAAACAGATCAGCAGCAACATGAAACAGATAGGCAGCAACATGAAACAGATCAGCAGCAACATGAAACAGATCAGCAGCAACATGAAACAGATCAGCAGCAGCATGATGTGATTCTTCACAGTGATTGTTCTGGTTAGAGATTCATGAGTCTAACAGCCTCAGGGTAGAAGCTGTTCCTCAGTCTAGTGGTTCTACACTTAATGCTCCTCAACCTCCTTCCTGAGGGGAGTGGGGCAAAAAAGTGTGTGTGCTGGGTGAGTGGGGTCCTTCATGAGGGTGAATTAGTAATTTTTGCCAGGGGTTGTAAAAACTTGGACATGAATTGTTCTGCTAATAAATCTGACAGAAAACTTTAGTATCTAGAGTAAGGTTAAAACCTCTTACACAGAAATTACTGGGTATGTTGGAACCCTGTTAATCTTTACAACCAGTAGATGGCAGAGTAGTACCAAACATACAACAATATGAAAACAAGTACCTAAATGCAAAGTTACAATAAAATCGTAGACTAACAAAATTTGTGTTTCCATTTAAACACTCAGTTTTGTTTAGAGTCTTTCCAACAAATATTTTTCAGAATGAAACATATTGTTTCATTGAGTTATATTATTGTGCCCATAACAAACCCCAGACTGGTTTTCCCTGGCTTTTGATTAATAGGTGGAAATATTTGGTGTGTTTGTGCTTTGTGATGGTGTTTACAGTTTTCAGTCTAACACACGCTGAGTCTTGTTTGAGCATGATATGGGGTGCCTCTGGCTCTGTGTCTGCTCTTGGCTGAATGTGCATGTTGCATGTTATTGTTGTTCACCTCTTTCAGGTGCGATCAGTACATCACCCAGCTGGATGAGATGCAGAGGCAGCTCGCAGCTGCAGAGGATGAGAAGAAGACACTGAATTCCCTGCTGCGCATGGCCATCCAGCAGAAACTGGCCCTGACTCAGCGTTTGGAGGACCTGGAGGTGCCTCAGTATCCACACAGCTTGAACAGCAGCCCCCGCCGCTCTCGGGCCAAAGAGCTTGTTGTCAAGTCGGCCCGCGGCACTCGTAGCCCCCGCAGCAGCCCTGCCCGGCCACAGCTAAGGAGCAGCTCGCGAGCTAGCCCTGTTCTTGGCAGCAGCGTCACCACCTCGGCCACGCACCACCTGCGAACTCTGACTCGAAGTCTCAACACAAGCCCCGTAAGAACCTCTTCTTCTCTTTGCCCTGAGAACATCACTCATACCAGCAGGTCATCCCACAGAGGCAGGGGGCTCCCTCGAGATGCCACCTTCATTAGAAGTCATAGTGTTAGTGTTGTCTGTAACACAGAGTCGAGTCGAGGGTTTTCTCTCACACGTAGAGATTCCAGTAGTTCTCTGAGCAGCGAGTTAAAGGTAAAAACAAATGTCTGTGATCCAAGAAGGGCTGCGTCCAGCCGCAGAGCTTCACTTCCTGAATATCAGGAGACTTTCGTCACATCTCGGGCTGGGCCTTCCTCTTCCTGCAGGAAAAAATCTTTTTCTTTACCTGCCGATCATCTAACCTCCTCTAACGCTTTGCGTGTGTATACTAACACATCCATAGCATGGCGTGACCGTCAACAAACATCCGGTCAAAAATCACACAGAGATCTTTCTGTGAGGAAAAAAAAGAGTTGACTCAAAGGTCTAAATCTGTACGGGCAGCTGCTGTTAAACAGTTAAACATTTCATTCAGAGCTGCTCACTTCACAGGCAAACTCCAATTCTTCTGAGGCTCAGATGACCTCAGTCTGTTCATAACCAGCATGGTAGGAGCAGGACGGCAGGTCTGCAGGGAGTCTCGAGGTACATCCTCCACTTCCACAAATAGAACTGAAGAGGAATTTCATGTTAAGTAGGAACTCTGGTAATAAAAGTCAGGATGCATCTGCCATGGCTTGAAGCTCCTCAAAGTCCTCCCTCAGGCACTAAAATACAAGAAAACAGATTTAAAATCAGAAAGTCTTTTATTGCTTTTATTGATATCTATACATTTTATTCTAAACTACAAATAAATATGTACTGTATTTTTTGCCATATAAGTTGCACCTTTTTGCATAAATTAGCAAGTCCTGCAACGTACACACCGAAGCAACTAATAAACATTTCCCCCCATATTTATAACCCAATTTTTGTTTGAGATCTGACGATTTCATTCATTCTGACATGGAAAATATTGAACACCACCATTTTCAGCCGCTAGAGGGCGCTCAAGTCATATAGCAAGCCAAGTGTCACATTAATGGGTAAAAGTGGCTATTAATGAGACACTTGACTTGCCATACAAAGCCACCTTCGTCTCTCTCCATAACTCCTGGAGTAAATGTCAAATCAGCTGCATTTCATTGTGCCGCCCAGGAGAAATGCAGCTGATTTGATCATTAAAGTGCATTTATTAAGGAAAAGTTCAACTGAGACACACCTTTGCTATAATGTTGAGCAAACAAATAATTGTTTTTCAGTGTTAATCTTGTTAAATTCTTGTTAAAATCCTCCCGTGCACGCTCCCGCGCCCGCCATTTGGCAGCCAATCAATTTTTGGCTCATCACCGGCCCAAGTTTCCAGTTGGTCAGCGATGACGCATAATAGATGCAACTTATACAGTGAAGCGACATGTTTTTTTTTTCACACTTTATTAGACATATTTGGACTGATGCGACTTATACTGCGGTGCGACATGTACGGCAGCAAGTACGGTAGCATCTCGGCACAGATTTTGTTTCAGAAACAACCCTCACTGTGATTAACAATATTTAGTCCTTTAACTGATAGTCTTAATATTATAGGACTGTTTATCTACTCTCATTTCTAGTAATTTAGGTTGAATTAAGTGTTTTCTTTTGTGTTTGTCTCCCCTGTTTCTGTAGCGCTGAAGCTCTCCTCCTGTTACTCCAAAACCCCTCTTCTCTCTAAGGACCTGTCTTCATGTTGACTCCCTCCTCCCTCTCTGATTCAAGACATCCTGTCCACCCTCAGTACGATGCTACATCACCCTCTGTCCACCTGAATCATGGACTGAAACCGTATGTAAAACAGATCCCTCTCATCCACCCTGTTGGTCTTCTTTGCTTGGAAGTGGAGAAACCTGCATGCAGCCTGGAGGTGGATGAAGAGATGAACGTGCTGCTCGTTTTTTCTGTCATTGACTGTTTTGTCTAAAATATTCCCCTTTCTATTTCATCTTGTTCAAGACTCCATGTTGTGGTGGACCTTTGACAGTATTTATCCTACAATCAGGGCCTTTTTGTGCAGTTTCTACTGTCCTCTGACTGATTCCTGGCTGTGATCTGTTCTCAGAAGACTTTCTCTTCACTCTTGCCTTTAATCTGTGTTTCTGGTCTGACCTGTCAGGCTTTAGTGTTAGCAAGCCATTAGCTAATTTATAATAACACTCCCTGTTTGTTACTTTTAAAGAGCAGTGTAGCCTTACCAACACAACCTTTAAGCTTGTTGCTGTGAAATGTTACCGCCACAACCTTTCTTGTTAAAACCCTGACTTCTATTGTCTTTGCCTGTCAGCTTCACCGTTTAATAAGAGCTGAGTTAAGATGGTGTTTTATGTGGAAATAGATCAGCCATAAATCCACCACCTCAGGTCAAACCACAGGTCTTCAGTTAGACGATTTACAAATCTTTTATGCGAGTCTTACTGTGCAAACTATGCAGACCAAGCCAGGATGGTGCCTGTATGATCGGCTGCAGGCTCCAGGTGGCTTTAACCACGCTTGACTTTAGTTTAGGGCTGGGCGATATCTCGATATTTTAAAAATATCTAGACAATTTAAAACGCAATATAAAATGAGACTATATTGATATAAAGCAATATAGTCTCATACTCTACATAAAGTTATAAATCCACCAGTTTTTCTCCCACTCTGCAGGCTGCAGCCTTCATGCCATCCCTCCTCCTCTCTCCCTCACTGAATACAAACCCGCCCCTCCCGTCTGCTCCAGCTGAAGAAGCTTAATATGCAAATAGGTATTTTTTAATTTACCCTTTATTTATACAGGTTAGTCTCATTGAGCCACGAGAACTCATTTTCAAGAGAGACTGTTTAGGGAGCACGTGGTGGCCTTGCTCATGGGCCCAGAGTGGGGCGAATGAGGGTGGAGGCAGGTGTGGGTATTCCACCTTTTCCACCCACATTTTTTTTTATGTTGACTGTACCGGGAGGTGACCCTGCGACTTTCCGATCACAGGCTCATCTTCTAACCTCTGCGCCACTGGGAGAGCCACTTTAAATTCCTGATAAGGTGTAAAAAATGATGGTAGCTGCTACAAAGGAGAGGTTTGTTGTTCTCCAGGAAATGAACTGGTTTAGAGTGTCAACATCTGATGTTGTTTTCTCATCAAAAAAACATGGAGACAGATATCCCATTTAGGGTGATTTATTTGCTGTGGTTCTTCTGGTATTTACACACAGCATAAAATCAACTCGAGGCTCAGCTGCAAGGCTCCGTTTGTGTCGGGAGAGGAAAAAAAACTTTGACTGACACACGCAGCTCTGAACTTTGTTTACACAGAGCGATGCGTTCACCAGCGTCACAGCCACGATGCATTTAAGAGCATAGGAACTATTAAATTCAGAAAGAAACGAGCCGTAATCCAACAGAACCGAGCTCAGTAAACAAGCCAACTGCACAACAATGTGAACTTTCTAACGGCTTTGGTAATAAAGGTTATTTACTTAATTACAATCAGACTTTTTAAAGAGCAAGTCATCCTTTCATTATGTTTGTATGTGTTATGTTTAAATTTTAAGTGCACAGCTGTGTTTTTGGTTTTGTTATGCAGGAAAAAAATATTTTTGAAACATTTCTTTTGTACAGTTACAGCTTTGTTAAACTGTGTGACAATTGGGACAAAGCTTTGACTCAGAAATATATTTTTTGTTATTAGTTTATGGAAAGAAAAAAAAATGTCAAGATATATATTGTATATCGCCATTTATCGTAAAATATCGAGATATTAATTTTGGTCCATATCGCCCAGCTCTACTTTCGTTAAACACATGCTGACTGCAACAACTTCTACAAACACTTAACAGAAAGCAGTGATTAAGTGTTATTTCAGAGTACAAAGTGTAAAAGCTGTCTTGTCTTCTTGTTGTGGGACTTTTTAAAATCTCTGATCTCTGACTTGATTTTTACCTGAAGCTGATCATAGCATATCCCACGCCTATTTCTCTTGATTACAGTAATAATAGCATTAAGGTTTTTCTTATTCTTTAGGACACTGAATCAACTATAATCATGTGTTTTATGGTTAAATGTCACTGTGCTTTTGTTTGTGACTGAAATACTCACACTCAGCATTACCCACAACAACGACCTTCCTGCTTTTGTGTCTTTAGAGTCAAATAATTTCAGTTTAGGATGCCAAAAGGATCAACAAAATTGCTGCTTGTGGAACAAGTTCAAATATAATTCCCAGTTATTACACTGCAAACTTTACATCTATTACATTAATACAAAAAGCTAACAGATCATTGATCTGCCAGTCAGGTAGAGGCCTCCAGCAGAAGAAAAGGTGTGGAAATGCTCTTTTATTAATCAATACTCTTTATTGGATTGCTTTGAGTTGGGCGATTCCAACACTGTTGTTTATCAGTGTCTGTTAGCTCAAATCAGTGCTGTAAAATTCCCTGCATCAGAAACTCAAATTGAGCTGATAATAACAATCATGATCACGTATTCAAAACACATGTTGACCTTTTCTCTCCATCAGTTTCCTGGTCAATGATCTGGTTTTCTCCGAGCAGTAACATCCTGCTGATTATTCTTTCTTTGATGCCTTGAGTTTCTTTCCTTCTCTAGTATATTTTTTTAAATCTTTTCTAGCAGTCACTAGATTTGATCTTTTGTCCTGATGTACATTTTGCTTTTTGAGACGGCTCATTAAACATGTTTAGCACTGACTAAGATCTCATTTTGATCAAATATTTTCACTTTTTATCTTGTTTTTTCTGTATAAAATGACTCGTTTCATATTGGTTTGCCCTAAGAATGATGACCTCCATTTATATTTATTGTGCAGTGTTACTGTATAGTAATCATGGAGAAATAAATAATATAAATGTATTAAAGAACTTGAAGGTACTGTTGGGCTGCTGTAAAGTTTTGAATTGGATCATTAAAAAATGAAAATGCTTGACGTGCAACAATGAAGGATGTAAATGGATTTCATTATCTATTTAACTTCTAGTCTATTTAATTCACTGTGTGTAGTTTTATTGACCATTGCTGTATAATGTTCTGTATTTAAATCCTGTGCATTCTGTGTAAATGTAAAAGTTATCCTTCACTCTACAGAACCTGATGAAGACCTTGAACATTTTTGGTGTATAAAAGCCGACCCTTTAGTGACCCCATGAAGAATAAAGTCAACACTGTTCACTGGTCGTGGTCTGGAGAGAATTTAATCTGATTTATTTATGTGTAGAAGAATTATAAATGCTCTCAGTGTTTTTGGTTATGTTTACAGTCCTGAAGAGAAATAATTTTAAAATGCTGTAAATGTTTCTTTAGAACATGCTGGTGAAGATTCAGTGAAGTGAATAACAATAAGTGAGTTTCTTTAGAACGTTCCTGAAAAGGCAAATAGTATCTAAAGGTAGTAAACTACTGTACTAAAAATACATTTTACTTTTAGCCTTCAAAACACACACCAATGAAAGTCCCCACACATTTTGCCCTTGTACTTATTTGTCTCTTGTTAGCAAAATTTTTCATGAATCACTGAATCAGAATCGGATACTTAATCCCAGAGGGAAATTGACTTTACAGTTGCTCCATGGAAATATGTGTGTTCTATACATTCAACTATGTGAAGCTGTAGTGCAATTATGAATATGGGGGTTTAATGTCAACAAGGTAAGAAGTCCAGTGTTAATGGAGTCTCTGACACTCAGAGGGTGGAGTTGTATAGCTGGATGGCCACAGACAGAAATCACTTCCTGTGTTGCATTTTGGCGGTCTCAGCCTTGCTCTAAACGTGCTCCTGTGTTTGGCAAGCACAGCATGGAGAGAATGGGTGACATGGTCCACAATGGCATGTTAGCATCCTCCTGTCTGACACCACAGTCATCGAGTCCAGCTCCACCCCCACAACGTCACTGGTCCTGCAGATGAGTTCGTTGAGTCTGTTGGCACCTGCTACCCTCCGTCTGCTGCCCCAGCACACAACAGCAAACTGGAGGACACACTGGCCACCACCAGTCTCACAAAACATCTTCAGCATGGTACGGCAGATGTTGAAGGACCTTAACCTCAAAAAATAGAGGCAGCTCTGGTCCTTCTTGTAGAGGGCATCAGTGTTCTTCTTAGCCCAGTTTATGGTCAATGAACACTAGGTATTTATAATCCTCCACAATGTTCACAGTAACAACCAGTGTCCTGACCCTCCTCAGATCCACAACCAGTTCCTTTGTCTTTGTCCCACTGAGCTGCAGCTTGTTCTGCTCACACCATGTGACAGTTACCGACTACAGCCCTGTATTCAGCATCGTAGCCACTGCTGACATGTCCAACTACTGCAGAGTCATCAGAAAACTTCTGGAGATGGCAGGACTGTCTGGTAGCTGAAGGCTGGTGTGGAGGGTGAAGAGGAAGGAGTTCAGTGCCCTGAGATTTTTGTCTTGAACTTTTTTTGAATTTCCCTGTGATGACTTCTTTTGTGACTTGGCACTATATAAATAAACTATTGAATTGAAGGTGGAGAGGACTGTTCCCTGTGGGACAGTATTGACAGTAATCCCCAGTATTGCTGACCACCCTGTCTGCTGGTTGGCCATGTGCCCCGTGCCCTCAGTTCCACCTGCACTAGCTGGTCTGAAACCAGTGATGGTCTTCATACCACTCCAGACCTCCAGAATAAACTATTGAAACTTTCAAAATGTAACCACTGTGCTTACATCCACAACTGATTAACTTTTGGAGTCAACTCAATTCAGGATGGCTTCCACAGACATCTGACTTTAAAAAACACAAAAATGGCAATTTATTGTCCAATTTTCTAGATGTTGAGCTAAGATTTGGCGTGGTAGTAGTTCAATATAATTCTTATCACATGATTTTGAGCGCAACATGTCAACAGCTTTGCTTAAAACCTTGGC